TTTTTTTTTTTTTTTTTTTGGTGCGCGGCGCAGGTATGGTGTTGTTGACGAACATGTTTGTACCAAAATAGAGGGAGGGAAGAAGGGCTGTCGACTATATTGGAAGAGGTGCGAGTGCGGCTATTGGGAGGTTGGGTGACAGATATGGAAATCGGGGAAGGAAACGGCGTCGTTTCTGGATCGGGGTCTCACGGGAAGGTTCTTTCCGGTGATGTCACCGTTGAAATTCCGGAGACAGCCCATCAGATTAGTCATGGTATCTTATATCAGTTTTGGATTTTTGTCTTCGTTCTTGGTTGTATGCTTGCCTTTATTATGTTTCTTTTAGGGCCTGCTGGTTATATTTTTACGTTTTTGACGGGAATTATCCTTTGTGTTTGGTGTCCGTTTTGTGATGTGATTGATTTTTTATGTAGTAGTATGAGGTTAAAGAAATCAATTTTCATGCTGACGGAGAAGGTTAAAAAAAAAAACAAAACGTAAGAATCTATTTTTATGGTCGACTGTTTTATGTGTATATGAGTTTCTTCCTAACTACGGGTGAAATATTTTCTTCATTAAATTTCCTGAGTATGTTTGTTTACCACGTTTGATAAATTCTGGTTCTATAGTGTAAATACTTTCCACCTCTCATGTTTCAATGGATTGTAAAACTTGAGTCAGAAAAAAAGTTTTACCCAGCTAGCCACAGGGGAGTCTTGTATGTGGGCCTTTTAGTTTCTCTCTTTCTTTCATTTTGTTTATTTGTTGAAGTAATACTTTTTTATATTTACCTGTTTAATGAATGTAGATTCGTGGTTTCAAGTGGCATTTGTTCTCACAACTGGGATCAATAGTGCCTATGTGCTGGGGTATTCGGGTACTATCATGGTTCCATTGGGCTGGATTGGTGGTGTGGTGGGACTAATTCTAGCAACTATGATATCCTTATATGCAAATTCTCTAGTTGCTAAGCTTCATGAGTTTGGGGGAAAGCGGCATATCAGATACAGGGACCTTGCTGGATTCATATATGGTATGATATAAGAGTAAAATAGAGAACATTGTGAATTGGTTCTAACTTTTAATATGCCGAAATTAATCCTCTTCTCCTTGTGCTTAGCAAATTCTTTTATTTTTAATTCATTGAGGCTTTGGTCGGTACTGCAGGTGATAAAGCTTATTATCTTACATGGGCCCTCCAGTACGCTAATCTTTTTATGATCAATGTTGGATATATTATTTTAGCTGGAAGTGCACTTAAGGTGACATAATTTGTTCTTCGATATTGCTTTTCTTTTATTCCCTGCATAAGTTGGAAATTCTGTAGTTATCTATGACTTTTTTTATTTTTTTTCTTTTCTCTCATATGATCTAGTTTTAGTAAGTGATTGTCATTACAGACTTGCGAAAATTTATTTTTCATGACATGCAGAAATGTCCAATAAGTCAAAAATGAAACATGAAGCCTTCAACTGATTATTGCTACTTAATTCTTATTCTTTTGACATTATTTGTAGGCTACCTATGTCCTTTTCAGAGATGATGATATCATGAAGCTTCCTTACTTTATAGCCATAGCCGGGTTGGCTTGTGGCCTATTTGCCATTGCCACACCTCATTTGTCTGCACTGCGTGTTTGGTTGGGATTTTCAACATTATGTAGTCTGATTTACATTGTTGTGGGATTTGCTCTGGCTCTTAAAGATGGTAAAAGCTGGCTCTTCTGTTTGTCGAGTGTAATTTTATCAATGATTTCATAACTTTTGTATTCTCACGTTTAGCATTTTTATTGGAGTCTTTGTCCCCTAAACGTAAAGATCCTCCCATCCTTCTTATGTGTCCTTACAGGTTATTCTCGGATATAATATTTAGTGATTATCTTTATCTAAATGTAATATTAATAGGAGCTTCCAAGGGTTTGAATTTTCACTAAATACTAATTTTATTATTATCTTACTCTGACCTGATTGTTTTTGACCTGATTGTTTTTATTAAAAACCTTAATATAGGAACTGTGCATGTCCTGACTTGATGACATGTTCCTGTAACAGAGGGTTGCGTGCGTGATTTATGCATTTTTTCAGGTATTGAAGCTCCTCCAAGAGATTACACCATTCAAGGAACGTCGGGAAGCAAGATTTTTACGACTATTGGAGCTGCAGCTAATCTTGTTTTTGCCTTCAATACCGGAATGCTTCCGGAAATACAAGTTAGTAGGAATTGCAAATCACTTACATATATTAAAATTAATGCTTTGTGATTGCATTTTGCATGGAAAGCAATGCTAAGGCTAAATCAAAAAACTTTTGTATCTTGTGGTATCGTCCTAAATTTAACTGCATTATAGTTGGAACAGTCAATATATTTCCTCAAGCAAATAGGTCTAGATATAGAGGATTACACTGCTATTACCTGGTTGAACTTTTCAAGTAATGTTGACATCATTATCCAATGATTTTAAGTTTCCATTTATTGTTTGATATATAAAAGTTTAGGTGCTTTGTATGAATCTCAGGGATTAAATTAGGCTTTGTGCGTTTTCTTTTTGCTTCTTTGTGAGGCATCAATAATGCATCTGAGGGCAAGATTGATGTGATTAAACTAATTTTTTGTTGTGATTTTCTGTTGGTCTTCATTTATTAATGCTACTTGATTTTTTTATCATCATTCATCTGTTTGACAGGCAACAGTTAGACAACCAGTTGTTAAGAACATGATGAAGGCTCTGTACTTCCAGTTCACTGTCGGAGTTTTGCCAATGTATGCTGTTACATTTGTTGGATATTGGGCTTATGGATCGAGCACATCGGCCTACCTGCTGAATAATGTTAATGGCCCGGTCTGGTTGAAGACGCTAGCTAATGTTTCGGCTTTCTTGCAAACAGTTGTAGCTCTGCACGTAAGAATTTTTTTTCTTTTTTCTTTATTATTATTATTATTATTATTATTATTATTATTATTATTATTATTATTATTATTATTATTATTATTATTATTATTATTATTATTATTATTATTATTATTATATCGTTCCACTGTTACAACTCTCAAAGTTGTTCAACAGAGTCCTTTTGTTTGTTCCTTATGTGACTTCTACGAATCATTTCAAATGCTTCCGAGTACCTTCGGTTTTTGCCTTAAAAAGATGAGGTTTGTACGGAGTGTCTGCAAGGTGCAAAAACACTGCAGCAGTAAACAAAGATCAATATTCAGCTTTTACGGAGGATGATACACAATTTTTCCGCCAACAGAAGCTAAAAATTCCTTCTTCTTTTTATTTTTTGCGGTGTGTTTTGAAAACCCCATTAGTATTGTCAACTTTTTAATGTGTGCGGAAGTCCTATTTCAGAAGTGAGACGAATAGGCTTTAAAAGGAAGGGTCAACAGTAATATACTTTCACCACTTGTATTTTATTATTTTCGCAGATCTTTGCAAGCCCGATGTACGAGTACCTAGACACCAAATATGGAATTAAAGGAAGTGGTTTAGCCATACGCAACCTGTCCTTCAGACTAGTTGTGAGAGGGGGCTATTTAGCCCTAACAACGTTTGTATCAGCCCTTTTGCCGTTTTTGGGTGATTTCATGAGCCTAACGGGTGCGGTCAGCACATTCCCTCTCACCTTCATCCTTGCCAACCACATGTACCTCGTGGCCAAGAACCACAACCTCACTCCCTTCAATAAGAGTTGGCATTGGATTAACGTTGTTTTATTCAGCTGCCTTTCACTCGCGGCCATGGTTGCTGCCTTTAGGTTGATTGTCGTTGATTCCAGTAATTATCACCTTTTCGCCAACTTATGATTTTTTTTTTCTCAATCTCTCCCCGCACTTATTTATCTAATTTATATCCTTTTGCATTTTTTAAAAATTTAAAATGATGTCTGAAACCAAATTATGTAATACAACAGTATTGGAAGATATGAAGATAGGAGGAGGTGAAAATTTGAAAATTTCCCTTGCACTTGCTATTTATGGCTAGCATTGTTCGTATTTTTGAATTCACAATTTGTCGCAAAATGAGTTGTGAAAAGATTGGGTTTCACTTTGTTTTGACTGATTTTTTATAGCTGAATTTTTAAGTCAGGTTGAATTAAATTGCGCAAAAAACATTATATGTTTCGTTTAGATATCATGATATGTTTATTTTCTCAAACTGATTTTCTGTGAATGAGAAATAAATTATTAAAGTTAGCCGTTAATGAGTCATTTCCTACATTGTACTCTTAAATGAAATTAACTCTCTTTATTATAATAAATAAAGTTAAAAAAGTTACAACAACAAAGTCATGCACCAAATGTTGGTGATGATCTCTACAACATGCATGCACGTGCGTGCGCGGCTAGCGTGATTGCATGGGCATCGGCTTGGCCTTGGTCTTGGATTTTGGATATTGGATCTTAGACCTTAGTCCTTGGCAATTGGATTGTGGGTTGTGTTGGGCTTGGTGCTGAGCTTGGGTTCAATTCCTACAATATTTTTGCTGCAAGTCTATTTGTAAAATTGTGGCTCAAATTAAATCCAAAACGAGTTAGCCTATGTGACCTTCACTAGGTTTCCTGAACCTAGACGTGTGTGACCTTCCACCAGTTCCACCTAATTGTTTTGATGGGTATAAGGTGGAGTGAATGTGAGTTAACACCTTAAAACGGTCTGACTGTTTTTGCCCATTTATAATAGCCATAAGTGAGATGTTACTGGTTAATGACCAGAGGTCATCCCCTACTGACTGGAAAGTCCTATAAATAGGACATTGTATAAAATTGCAGAGACACTTAGAATATCATCTAATCATTTGCATACTCCACAACCTCACGCATCGTAACAGACAAGTGTTCAACTCTCGACTCCGTTTTTGTTGCCAGAACTAGGGGTTTTCGTGTGCTACAACCTTCGAGACGTCGGCCGTTGTATCTTTGCGGACGGACATCAAATCTCCTTAGCATATTAGGCTGTATTCTTCTTGTAGAAAGAGCAACACTCGTCTCGACTTTGTCTTTTTGCTTCCAGATTGTATCTTGTTTTTAGTTTAAGTTGTAATATGATATGGGATATTATACCTAAATGAGTAAACCGGTCCACCAAGCCGGTCGAACGAGTATAGCAAATCGAATGGACCGTCTTGTCCCAACTGAATCGAGCAGAAGGTTGTGGTTGAACACTACGGGAGAAGGATAAGAAGGATTCCAAGACCAGAAGAACAGGCCGGTACCAGGTCCATGGAGGATCTGGTCGAATATCGACCTGTCGAGCAAAGGGTCAATTGATGGACCACTTCACAGACTTAGAGCAGTACAAAGGGTCGACCGAGACACGGTCGAGCACAAGAGCCTTCATGGAGAATACAG